CATCTACATTATCATCTATATTACATTCTATATTACCATATATATTATCATCTACATTATCATCTATATTACAGTCTATGTTATCATCTACATTACCATCTATATTACAATCTATATTATCATCTATATTACAATCTACATTCCCATATATATTACAATCAACATTACCATCTATATTATCATCTACATTACAATCTACATTACTCTCTATATTACAATCTACATTACCATCTATACTATCACCTATATTACCATCTACATTATCATCTATATTACAGTCTATGTTATCATCTACATTACCATCTATATTACAATCTAATGGTAATGTAGACTGTAATGTAGATGATGGTATAGATGGTAATGTAGATGATAATATAGATGGTAATGTAGATGATAATATAGATGGTAATGTAGATTGTAATATAGAGAGTAATGTAGATTGTAATGTAGATGATAATATAGATGGTAATGTAGATTGTAATATATATGGGAATGTCTATATTACAATCTACATTACCATCTATATTATAGTCTATGTTATCATCTACATTACCCTCTATATTACAATCTACATTACCATCTATACCATCATCTACATTAATAGATATTTGCTGCTGAATACGTCACTATATTTATATATATATATACACAAGTACCTTGTGGGCTTTAATCTAGTTTAATTTACTTATTTTTTTCCTCTGAATATCTTCTTATATATCATGTAAACGTTAGTCTTAGTCCGCTTTAACCTGATTTGTTTTACTGAATGCCTTATTACGTACCCTGTGAATATTAGTCTACTTAATCCATTTTTTTCTAATGATAATTTTTATGTACCATGTAAACGTTAACCTACTTAGTAATTAATCTAGTTTTTTTTCTGCATACATTCATATGTACCATGTAAACTTTAACCTACCATGTAAACGTTAACCTACTTAATCCATTTTTTCTGATGATAATACTTATGTACCATGTAAACGTTAACCTACTTAATGATTAATCTAGTTTTTTTTCTGCATACATTCTTATGTACCATGTAAACTTTAACCTACCATGTGAACGTCACTCTACTTAATCCATTTTTTCTGATGATAATACTTATGTACCATGTAAACTTTAACCTAATTAATAATTAATCTAACTATTTTTTCTCCTGCACACATTCCTTTATACTATATTAACGTTAGTCTCCTTCAACTCACTGGAATACTTAATAAGTATCTGTTTTTGCAGCCTCCTTAGACGCCAAGAAGTTCTCAGAAGAAACTCTGATTGCGACATCGAGCTAAACACAGATCAACAATCCTGTCCTGAACCCCCAACAGAAACTGTTATCGTCACTGTTCTCTAACACAACTGAACCTTGCACGTGAAGATTAACGCACATGGTTGGCACATCACCATCTTCAAGACCAAATGTTCTGTTATCTTTTTTTTTTTCGTAAGTAACTACATTACATCTACTTTCCTCGACATTTTCCCAAAAGACAGAGTTCCGAATGTACGTGATTTCTACAAATAAACGATTGATCCCAAACTCGGTCTTTGATTTTTTATTTTATTTTCTTAGCCCAAGGAAAACCGATCACATGAAACAGACTTGTAAAAGAAGATTTCACAGACGAAAGACAAATTTGTTACTAGTTTAACTCGATCTAGCATTTTTGATTCCAAAAAAAAAATATGTTATTTAAACAAAGAAATCCTATTCTGCGAATTAGCTAGCTAACCAATATGTAAATTACATTAACTATCTTTTCCTGCTAAATACGTTCCTATCTCTAAATAGAAAAACGTGGTTGTCTCTCTGATATTGTGGGTAACTGTCTGAACCAGTTTCGATACAATTTGATAAAGAAACTTAAATGTACTCTCCATAATTTTTTAAAGTTCAAGTTTAATGGATAAGCAGCAGTGTATCTTCACTAGGTGAAGTGTATCCTTTACCTTTAGTCTGTTACATCAAAATTCCAGACGACTGGCGCAGATAGATAGCCCTCGTGTCACTTTGCGTGAAATTCAGAAACATACAAAAGCTCACTTTCCAGAACTTGTCGAAACATATCTGTAAAATTTCAGGGTTTGTTATGCATTTCGCGCAAAGCTACACGGGGGCTATCTGCGCTAGCCGTCTCTAATTTAGCAGTGTAAGACTAGAGGGAAAGCAGCTAGTCATCACCACCCACCGCCAACTCTTTGGGCTACCCTTTTAACTACGAATAGTGGGATTGACCACCACATTATAACGCACTCACGGCTGAAACGACGAGCATGTTTGGTGTGACAGCGATTCGAATACGTGACCCGCAAATTGCGAGTCGAGCGCCCCCTGCCCAAACTTTCAGTGAAACAAATACTAACATTTTTACACGTAATTCCATTTTCCAATATGTAAGCTATTAAATGTTCGACTTCTGCTACTTTAGTTATCTTATTCTTATGGTCCCTCAGTGGGATAGTGGTAAGTTTACGGACTTATAACAGTGAAATTCGAGGTTCAATTCTCCGTGGTGGTCAAAGCGCGGATAGCATATTGTTCAGCTTTGTGCTAAAACAAAGCTGTAAGTGCGTCATAAATACATTAACGGCATCTGTTGACAAAATTCAACAAAACCAATTTGCCTTATTACAAACTGATTCTGGGTTAAAAGGTGCATTCCGTTTTATTGATTTATCATTTCTAAAACATACTGGAAAACAGTTACCTCTAAATTCTTCTAGTATAGCAAATTTGTTTAGTGTACAGTGATACAAATCCGGCCTTTTTAGAAACAAATAAATGAGAAATTATATTCCTATTCGTATTGACCGTTTTTTATTCTCTCATTGCCTTGGCTAAAGCATTAAAGGTATGAAATATTGAACTAGAATTAAGAGAAATAATATAATTCTTACATATCTTAAATATCGAAGAATTTTCCTTCTCGTGAAGTGTGAAAAAAAAAACATAGAAGTAAAAAATATTTGAGTATTTTGGTCAAGAGAAAATAAAAGATATGTAAATCAATTTCTGAATTAATATCATACTAAAAATCACTAGAATTCCCTATGCACTGAGAAAAGTACAATGTGTAATACTTTTTCCCATCTAAAATATACTGCTTTATATACTTTATTATATTTAAAATATCTACTCCATATACTTTCTTATGTCTAAAAATATATACTGTCCCTATTTTCTTATGTTTGAAATATCTACTGTATATACTTTCTTATGTCTAAAAATATATACTGTCCCTATTTTCTTATGTTTGAAATATCTACTGTATATACTTTCTTATGTCTAAAAATATATACTGTCCCTATTTTCTTATGTTTGAAATATCTACTCCATATACTTTCTTATGTCTAAATATATATAGTCTCCCTATTTTCTTATGTTTGAAATATCTACTGTATATACTTTCTTATGTCTAAAAATATATACTGTCCCTATTTTCTTATGTTTGAAATATCTACTCCATATACTTTCTTATGTCTAAAAATATATACTGTTCCTATTTTCTTATGTTTGAAATATCTACTCCCTATACTTTCTTATGTCTAAAAATATATACTGTCCCTATTTTCTTATGTTTGAAATATCTACTCCATATACTTTCTTATGTCTAAAAATATATACTGTTCCTATTTTCTTATGTTTGAAATATCTACTCCATATACTTTCTTATGTCTGAAATATCTACTGTATATACTTTCTCATATCTAAAAGTATATACTGTTCCTATTTTCTTATGTCTGAAATATCTACTGTATATACTTTTTTATGTTTAATATATCTACTGTTATAGACTTTCTTATGTCTAAAAGTATATACTGTCCCTATTTTCTTATGTCTGAAATATCTACTGTATATAGTTTCCCAGTTTGCCTCTGAAGAAGAAAGGTCCACCTTTCGAAAGTGCTCGGGTTATAGGGTTTTTATTCATTTCTATACTTTCTTATGTTTAGTGTATCTACTGTTATATATTTTCTTACGTCTAAAATATCTACTGTGCATACTTTCTTATGTCTAAAAATAATTAAGTAAATGTGCAATTTTATCATTATATGGCAAAATCTAAATTTTCAATTTCTTTTTCACTTAAACCGTTTTCATAATATGGTCTTTTATACAACTTTTCCATTTTGTTCATGCTTGCTACGTTGCTTTAATTCAAACGCTCTTTCCAAGTACTTTTAAATGTTATCCAACCAGTGTTTCTATAACAGTATCTTATTAATGTTTCTATTACACCGACTTGTTTACTAACATGTCCCCACCCCGGTGGCTCAGTGGTACGTCTGCAGACTTACGACGATAAAAATTCAGGTCTAAGTACCCGTTGTGGACAGAGCACAGATAGTTCATTGTTTTGCTTTTTACTTAACGAAAATCAACCCAATTATTCTCTTACGCCACTCTAACAGAAGTATTTTATTCACGTTTCTTTTACTTAAACCATTACATATATATATATATATATATCTAATATGGCAACATGATTTATTTACCAGAATTGACCATTATAAAAGCCTCAGTACTGAGACCATTTTATTGATATGACAATCCTATAAGTCTTTGTTTTTTTATTGAAACAACATCATAAATTATTATTTAGAACATTTCAAAAATATTTTATTAAAGTATTCTAATAATACTATTCAACAAGCTTGGGCACTAGTCATTTGAATCACCCTATTATATTCACTTTCTTTTAGCCCCCGTTCTTCCGACCTAAACAATAACATATGTTGTCGTCTAGAGGATTTGAGTTTAGTAGTTAGATTTTCAGAATTAAGTTTTCAAGACTTTGAACCAAAAAGGTCTGAAACTATCTCAACTGTAAAAATAAAAGGCAAACTAGAACCCTTTCACCCGTCATGATGTAATTCATTCTTCCCAAACTGTATAAAAATACTTAGAACCCTTTCACCCCCTCATGATGTAATTCATTCTTCCCAAACTGTATAAAAATACTTAGAACGCTTTCACCCCTCATGATGTAATTCATTCTTCCCAAACTGTATAAAAATACTTAGAACCCGCTTTCACCCTTCGTAACATAACTCATTCTCCATACAATCACCTCGTCCTAACATTTTAGTTTAACTGAATTTTTGTTTTGTGAGCTATTGCAGCATTAATGTTTTCTTCGGTAATAAGCGTCAAGTTTTATTTCCTGTTTTAAGTGAAATTCGTGTGATAATTTACCTCGTTGGGTAATAGCTAACTAAACATAGTTATTTGTCTCTTAATGAGTTTTTGGATCACAAATATCTTAGAGCTTTGTATCCGGTTTGTCTTACTTCTTCTTTAAACTACCTGTAAATAGCGTTCTTATTGATATCTCAGAAACATCAGGCCGTCTCTAGAAAACTGTACTATAAATAAGCGCATTATTCTTCCCAACGGAAGATTTCAGAGGGCACTGAAGAGAAAAGAGAAACTTTACTACGTCGAACCATAAAAATACCCAGAGAGACGTAAAATCCACAAGTCTTCCAATGCAATGGAAAAAAAAAAAGAAATATATGATGATATTCAACACGAACAGAAGTGAGCCATTCACAAGTACATTCTTTCCTAGGATTGAAGGTATAAATCCTTTGAAGTGTAGTTAACAAACTTGAGGGACCTACTTATCAGTATTAGCAAAGATGACTTCGTATTTTTTCCCCTTAGTGTATTTTACGCTAACCTTGAAGTTTTGATAGTCTAGTATTTTAGCTTTTTCCTTTCCTAGAATGTCTCAAAAGTGTAAATAGTATTTCACAACTTTTATTATAAGTACAGTATTCAAATATCTAATTAGTTTAATATTCAAACACTTTGTAGAAACAAGTATTAAGATATTTCATAAAGTATTTCCTGTAGCTGCTGAAATTTGTAAAATCACTGTTAAAATAATTAAAAACATTGTTGAAGTATAAATAATGGAACCATTAATACAATACTTATTTATTATTAAATAGATAGTGGAATCCCCAGCACGACACTTCTGAAAGTCTTTATAAATAAAACTTCTTAGATATATATATAATTCAACATATTTTCAAACGTATATTATTAAGATCATTACTTGAATAATTTGTATGATAGCAGATACGTTTAAATATTATATAATGTATTATCTCAGAGTGCAGTGGCTTAACAGCTAAATTTTATCAAATGCATTCACACAATACAAGGATTTGACAGTAGGATAGTATCTAATTGTGTGCATTCACACAATACAAGGATAGTATCTAATATACTCTCGCAGTGCGTGGGTTTAACAGCCGGACATTTTTCAGTGTAATCTCAGAATGTGTGTGGGCGATGGGGGGATTTGAGAACTGAGTATAGTTTATGTAACGTCAGATATACGGGGACTTGACAGCTGGATATTGTCTACCATAGTCTCAGAATACCTGGGTTTAACAGATTGTTAATGTCTAGTGTAGCCTCATATTGCTCGGGTTTGACAGCTGGATATTGTCTACCATAGTCTCAGAATACATGGGTTAACATATGATTATTTTCTAGTGTAATCACAAGCTTCAA